AGGGGAGTGAAAGCGAACACGAGTCGCAGGCTGATGGAGCTGGTGAGGGTGTAGAAGATGACTCTGATCTTCCAGCTGATTTTTTATCCAGTGATGCCTCGTGTGATAACGATGGAGATTAGTCTGAAGAGGATTGCGATGATATTCCATCAGGAATTCGAATTGTTCACATGGAGAGCTTACAGCAATTGGTGACGTCAGCGTCAGTGTGTATGTAGTAATTATCAAGAGGGCAACCTGACTATCAAAGATGATTTTCGTCATGGCCTCGCCTCAACAATTAGTTTGCAGTGCGAATCGTGCTGCTCATCAACAAGTGTAGCCCTGGCAGAAAGACACCCACTTGCTAAATTGTACGATATAAACTGCCGCCGCAGTGTGCTTGCCATGCACCTTATTGGTAGTGGGCGAGAAGGTCTGAACTGTATCTGTGGGATATTGGATATGCCGCCTCCTGTTAGCAAGTCCAATTCTGGGCACAGCGATGCGCTACACACTGCGGTGGAAACTGATGCTAGGGACAGCATGAAGAGTGCTGCACAGCGTCTTCTTGTTCGGCGAACAAGAGAACAGCATTCCCACCCGGAGCATGTTGCAGTTAGCACCGATGGAACGTGGATGAAGCGCGGATTCTCATCAATGTTTGGTATGCCAACTGTTGTGTCCTATGAGACAGAAAAGGTTCTGGACGCGGAGGTGCTATCAAAACACTGCAGTGGATGTCAAACTTGGAAGAACAGATGGCAAGCAAGAAAGATTTCTAATGCTGAGTACGAACAATGGAAATGTTTTCGGCTGTGCTGGAAATGATGAGCTGCTCTAAGGGTTCACTTGCCAGCTCTGGTCTTCTCAAGTTGGATGAAGAGAAGCAGTATCACAGGAGGAGAAGGTCCAGTGAGGAGCAAAAGTCAGCCAGGAAGAGAAGAGAGCCATTCGAAAGGGATTTGCTGACACGATACAGCAAGCAGAGGTAGTCACATACATTGCTGGATGGTTCTCAGAGTGCCAAAAGTTAGTGTTTTTTGGCCTTCCGACCAAACTTTGGTACACTATATCTCCAGACTGGCTCATCACAGCCCAATAAACCTTATATGTAGATTGATCAGTGGAAAATTTCCCAGATGCTGAATATATTTATAATACCATAGTTTTTTGTTTGGCGGATGTTAGCTGCCTCAGTAGTAATAATCTTTTTCAACGGTGACGGGCGTCTTCACAGATGATGTTGACTGGGTGGTGCTATTTGTGTCCTATCTCCAATCTGTTCTATTCAGCATCTGCTACTGTTGTAGACTGTCGCTTGTGATGCATTTTTAACACTTCAGCTGATATTATGTTGCTGCTAGCATGTACCAAAAATCTGAGATGACGGCATTTTTTTACTCTCCAGTGCAGTGAACTTTTGGGACGATGCGAAGTAAATAAGTTCAAGGTAGTACTTTTATTAGGTGGTGGCGTGAATCATAAATCTGTGCTCAAAATTTTGTGGGAAAAGATTCACAGACACCGAAGTAATACCCGATTTTAGTTGTGTGTACAGTGGTCCCTCTATAATCCGGCACCATTTGTGCCACGAAAATCTGCTGGATTAGGGAGGGTGCTGGATTAACAAATCTGATTTACTGCTGCAATGTGCATGAAGAGGACATTTTGGCTACTGAAAATTGTGCTGGTTTATCGAGGGTGCTGGATTATAAAGTGCCAGATTAGAGAGGGACGACTGTATTTGCGAATGGCATATTCCAGTACTGCTACCTTAATTATTTAAAAAAAAAGCTGTGCTGACACGGGCAGAGGCGTGACTGTTCGCCTTTGCATGCCGGTAGGCATTCTTTTTAGGTAACGATTTCTTGTGAAGCTTTTTACGTTCA